AGCCATTATAAAAACAAATAAAAAGATAAAAAGCCATAGTAATAAACATCATAAAAACCAAAGTACTTAAGGGAGGATTAAAAAAATGACCTCATCAGCCATCAAGACAAATCTCTGATTCCTGAGAAGTCCAGGCCTAGCAGCATACTCAGTCTTTTGAAAATTCAAAAGCGATGGGACCAGTATAGTTTCCCAGGAAAGGAAGTTCTATAAGACAGGCACCGCAGCAAAGAAGGCATGTCTTCTGCAAATTTAGGTCCCTTAGCTAATGGTGCCCATAGCATGCCTTCTTTGTGAGATCTAATGGGGCAGGCTGATATTGTCCCCTGGCTTCCTTAGGCACAGAAATTTCAGATTCTGCCTCTTGGATTAGTAACAACTCAGCTGTCCGTGCTTCCAGACCTTACAATTATTTGTTTTCCTGCCCTCCAGATAGCCTGACTTTGGAACTTCATTTCCTAAGAGAAGCAGGGAGAAACATCCATCTAGTAGTTGCCATCTAGCCATTTAGCAGTTTCCCAGTAGAGAAACCAAGACATCCTAAGTCAACAACAATATGCTCACTTGGGCTTGGGAACTAAGTAGGAACAGTGATTAATATTGGGATAGGAGATCATAGAGAACTTCAGGATTGGAGGCAAAACAATGAAAAACAATGAACAATTGAAAAACAACCCTACTGTTGCAAGAAAACTACAAGGATGTGTCTAAGACGATAAAAGCTGTTGAGCTCAACTTAATGAACACTCAACTCCAAGGCTTTTCAGGGACACTAGCCTTTTCAAGGTTACTTGAAGCATGAACTTTCCTCTTCTGAGTAGTTTCTTTATAGAAAATTGTATTTTTTAGTGTAAAACAATTTTAAGTCTCTGTTATTTTGATTGAAAAAAGAATGGTTGATAATATGTATGTATATATATATATATATAGCAACCAGCCTTAAAATTGATAATCAAGTTACTGAAATATTGAATAGTATTTGCTTTAGAATCATGAAAAATTAAAGGAACTGGCATTTTTTTAAAAAGCCGCATATCAGCATTTGGTAGAATCGTGATAAAGACCTTGAAAAAGATATTCAGATCTGGGATGTGTTTTTACCAACAAAGATCAGAATCATGCAAACAATGCTTTTCCTGTGAAACTTTACGGAATTGAAAATTAGGGTTTGAAACTGTAAAATAGAAAGAATTCTGGTTGCTTTTGAACTTCGGTGTTGAAGAAGACTCCTGAAACCAAGCAAATATATCATAGCACAAATCAATTCAGAGTTCTCATTTGACATGCAATGACCAGGCTGAATTTATTATATGTTCGATACATTATGCAAAGACCTAACTCTCTAGAGATGTTCATAATGCCAAGAAGGGTGACATGAAAAAGAAAAGGCACAATCAGCAGCAAGGTGGTGTTAGATGATCTAATGTTCTGGAGAAAATCCATCTATGTGATCACTAAGAGTCAACATTAACTTAATGGCACATAAGCAATATAGCATAAGTCTCCTGATACATGTGTATTCATATAAACATTTAAGAAAGGGAAGGAAGGATACTGGCTCCACATATAGTATTAGCACATGTTTTGTTTAAACCACGGTCTGTTAAGTAATCCAAAGCTGAATTATAGCTCTGTGTGTCACAAATCACAACTGATAAATTACAAGAGTTATATAAAGTTTAAACAAAAACAAAACAAACTATTTTACTGGCTTAGTACAATGGATTAATCCAGCCACTACATGTATGTATAAGATGTGAATGAATGGACATGGGAAATGAGATAATAACATTTGATTGGAATTGTATATGACTCTCATTGCTTTTTATTATCTTGTCTACTTTTTTGTGTGATATGAAGTTTATATCCACAAATTTATACTCATTGGTCTTGACAAACATGTAAGTGGATGGCTGGGTGGACAGATGCATAGTGCAATAAAGTGAAATATAATAACATTTGAACGTTCTGTGTTCCAACTGAATAAAATTTAAAAACATTTTTAGAGCTCTTATCTTTGGGTATTTAAAATTAATGGAGCAATATGAGATAGGTATCTGTTGTGTATTAGCCACACATATAAAATCGACCAAGGGGATAATAACTTAAACAATATTAAAAACAAAAATTCCTAGCAAACAGTGGAAGCAACCATTAAAGATAATTTCTGAAACTTCTGCTTGCAGAAAAAAGCAATAAAACTAAATTTAGCAGAGATGTCAATAGCAACAGATATATTTCAACAAATCTCATGAACAGTAAACCAGAACCTAAGTGGCAATTGGTTTGGGAGTCTTTTTTTTTCTTAAGCAAATAAAGAAACCTGAATGAGCAACAGCAACACTATTTGTTAAGGCCACACACAATGCACTCTTTAGCATTTGCAAAGTATTTTCTGTGTTTGGAAATCTGCCAGAATAAAGCAGAACACAATCAGAGAACAAACAGTGACCACAATACAAAATGAGTTCACAAGATTTAAGCTATGCCATGTATGTACAGGGGTTCCAAACCTCATGCAATAAACAGGCTTCTTATAAGTCTCCTCTCTTTTCTCTTTGACTTAGTTCATGCATGTTAATCAAATCCCGCAGAATATTTGTGGCAGAAGTATGACTATCAGGACTCAGGTGCTATGTTTTCAATTTTGGGCAGACACTAACAAAACTTTCTTGGTGCTTTTTTTTCATTATCCAAAACAATCTGAGCCTCTGGTTGGCCAGTCTGAATAATTCCTGTATAATGCCTATGAAAAACAGTAATTCTTTCTCAATTACGAGACCAACATTCTTCCTCCTACTCTTAACATTGCCATTGTTGAGATGGTTGAGAAAAAAAGCAAAAGAACTATAAATGGGAAAAAAAACCTCAAGAACTACTATGTGGGTGGTAATAAAAAAGGTGATATTGTGTGTTGTAAAACATGTGATCTTGAAGCTATTTTGGATACTAAAGCTGAGACAGGAAAACACATGCTACTGAAAGGAAAAACCATATCAAAATATAGCAGAAAAGATCAAGCAAGCGTTCTTGTACTACGGCTCTCTACATCCTGGAGCTCTTGATATATTTTGATACTAATATTTCACAATTCTCACCCAGAAGGGTTCTGCCTAGGATGCCTGAAAAGTTCTGGGATATATTTGGAGCAGCCAGGAACAATTATGACATATTTCAGAAATTGGAATTCTACAGAGTGTTGTATTTGTACCAGAATATTATTTATATTTCCTAAACGTACCGAAACAACCTCAATAAATTGTTGCATGCATTTGCAAAGATCCCAGAGCAATAATTTAGGTTTTAAAAATGCATGTAGTAGAACTTCAGTACAACTATATCACTCCTAAAGCAATTAAAGAAGGACAATAATAGTGTCAGGATGATTTAGTTTTTTTTAAAAAAGCCATAATCCTGTGAGTCAAAATATCACTGGATTATGTAATTTATATATTCATATCAATTGCCTACCATAGAAGACAGGAATGAACGTTTTTTGCTTGACAACAATTAAATTTCAGACATGCATTCTTACAAACCCAAACATGTTACTCCCTTTTGGGGTAATAAGTGGCATTATACATAGCACTGAAGAAAGAAGTAGTAAATGAAAACATTAAAGGAAGCAGATAAGAAAAGGAAGCATCAGTAAATCTAGTTTATACCAACACAATTGATTGTTCTCCATACACCTCTATCCTTTCCTAACGTGAAAAGTAAAAAAAAAAAAATGTGAAAGGTTTAGATGTTCCTGACATTTCTTATAATATAATTGAAATTGGAGATTTAGGACCAGCTTTATATAAGGAAGAAAAATGATATTATAGTTAGCTATAAAAATAATATCATTATTTCTATTCCTTTCTACATTTAATTCTATAATAAGTGTTAGAAAATGCTAATGGCATCAGTGGCATCTAATTCAACTTCTTTATGGTCCCATAGTAATTTGGACAAAAAAGTGGCCGTGACTTATTCTTACCGATTTGAATGAAATCTAAATCCAACACAACTTAGATTTTACCCAAGTTCTTTATTTTAGGTATACTTATTTATAAATAAATAAACTCAGTTTGTATTCTGATCAAGTTGTTTAAATTAGAAAAGGTTGTATGGGTTGTACCTATTCCTTAAGTAGATCCCAGTAGTGTTTCCTGTTTGGGCCAATGCTGTATCTCTTTCAGAAATCGGTTTCTGCCCTCATGTTTACATTGTCATGGAAAGGAAATTAATTTTATATGATCCAGGGCAAGACAATTCGAGCCAGGGAGTGGGGAAGGAAAGCCTCTAGTGAGCATAAGCAGAACTTGTATTCAAAGTATAGTTGTTGTGTTACTTGCAAAGTTATGTCTGACCCATCGCGACCCCATGGACATCGTTCCTCCAGACCTTCCTGTCCTCTGTCATCATCTCACACCGACTGCTTCAGTGACTCCATCCAGTCACCTCATTGTCTGTTGTCCCCTTCTTCTTTTGCCCTCAATCTTTCCCAGCATTATATTCTTCTCAAGTGAGTCCAGTTCAAGGAATTAAGGTAAAGGTAAATGTTCCCCTTGCATATATGTGCTAGTTATTCCCAACTCTAGGGGTGGTGTTCATCTCTGTTTCAAAGCTGAAGAGCCAGCATTGACCAAAGATGTCTCCGTAGATATGTGGTTGGCATGACTAAACGCCAAAGGCACAAAAAATGCTCTTATCTTCCCACTAAAGGTGATTCCTATTTTTCTACTTGAATTTTTTTATGTGCTTTCAAACTGTTGGCAGAAGCTGGAACAAGTAATGGGAGCTCACCCCGTTAAGCAGTGCTAGGGATTTGAACCACCGAACTGTCGACCTTTCCGATCGACAAGCTCAGTGTTTCAACCACTGAGCCACTGCATCCCTATATTCAAGGAATTAGTTTTCCTTTTAATTAGATTGTGATGGTTTTCTTTTCCACATATTTAGCATCAGCTTAATGGTGACAGAATCAGATTTTAAAATGCTTGTGATTTACTTACGGAACTTTTAGCTTTGGAAACTTCTGAATATCATTTTCAGACATGTTCTGAAACACAAAAAAAAGCAGCATGCTATAATTAGGCACGTGCCATCATTTTGGTTACTGAGGATGCTTATTATAAAATAAAAATAGAATTGCAATGGTCACATGAGAGTGATATTTGCTTAAATGTAACTTGCAAGACATTCTGTTTCCTCGTTCCTTCACCTTCTTTCCTAATTATTCACTGATAACTCTTTGTTTTTATTAGCTTACTTATTATCCATCAATAATGATTGATTGATTGATTGATTGATTAACTGATTGCAAAGCTAAAAATTGTAGCTTTTGACATATCTTTCTGAAAATTGTAGCAAGGTTTAAATGGTCTTCCTGGACTTTCTAGAGAATTGGATTAAATAATCCTTATGTTTAATTCCAACTCTATATTCTGTAAATTTATGAAAGTATTGAAAAACTTACCAGAAATCTTTGTCCAGTTATGTTAAGTTTCCTCACAACTTTCTCGCAATCCTTGAAGTTTAACTGTAAATGAAAATAAACTTTATTAATGATAGGCTTTGGTTAAAATTCACTCAGGATGCTCCAACAAAGATAACTTCCACCTTGATTAGTACACATCTGGATTACTGCAAGGCATTCTATGTGGATCTGCCTTTGAAGCAGTGGTGGATTTCCAATTTTTTTACTATGGGTTCGCTCTCATGCTCTTGCACATGCATCCGGGCGGTTGGGTGGAACCTCCCATCACCGCTACTATCAGTTTGCCCAATCCGGACCAGCAACCCACCTCTGCTTTGGAGACAACTCACAGCTGATACAGAATGCAACTGCTAAACCACTGTCAGGAGCTTGCTACTGCAGAGTTATTAAAGAATCACTTATAAAGTTGCAAATGACATAACACTCAGAGATATCAGGAACCTACCACTTTTCATATAAATGAGTCTACCCATCATGTCCAAATATCTAGTGAGGGCTTGCTGAGCTTCCTATTGCTTTAAGAGGTTTACCCAATGTGGGCCAGGAAGCCAGTTGTTTTCAGTAATATCTCTAAAGCAGTATTTTTAAATTCAGCAACTTTCAGACGTGTAGACTTCAACTCCCAGAATTCCTTAGCTAGCATTTTCCCCTTGCTTCCCGATTCTCTCTAAGGCAATTAAAAACTGTCCTATTCTGATATGCCTTTGAGTAATAGTGGAATTTATTATATTAATAGGTAAACAATTAATATTGCAATTTGGTTTAGTTTGGGTCATCTTGTTTTCCTTGCTGTATACTATCCAGAGTTGGATGGCAAAAGTTTACAAATATTGATAATATTTTAATGGTTTCTCCTGTGCATAGACATTACCTAACCCCCAAAAACAAATCTGGGTGCAGAACAGTCTCATTAGGCCATTGCTAGTGGCTGTGATTTCAACCAGAGGAGGTGTGTCACACTATAGAGCAGTGGTGGGTTTCAAATTTTTTTTGAACCTACTCTGTGGGTGTGGCCTCCTTTGTAGGAGTGGCTTGCCAGCCATGTGTTCTCTCTCTCTCTCTCTCTCTCTCTCTNCTGAATATTCACACCTACCACCATTATCTTTTTGTGAATGAAAACAAGCAATGGAGATGAAGAAAGGAATTGCAGCACACCCAGCCAACTTTGTGGCATACATGACACAGAAGTTAAAGACTATTCATATAGATAAACTTTATGATCAAAACCCTAAACTCTCATTACAATCCCAGCAAGAGGGGAACAATTAAGGCACAGCAAGTATCCTTCAGCTTCTGTTGGTTTCTGCTATTCCACACTTGGCTTTGAAACAAAATAATAAAAACTCAAGTGGAAAATAACTAATTTTAAAAATGGAATTTGTGGGGCTTTAAACCCAACAACAGATATATTGTTGAGGGTTCAGTGTAATGAAATTGTCCAATGAGGGGAAACAGTTTCTTTAAATGCTTGCAAATAGCCATTCATCATTTATATGTTGATTCTTTCTTCCAAAATATATTCCATATGATGGAATAGTGTATCTGTGTTGGATATAGAAAGATCTCTGCAATATATCCATTTGTATTTTTACAGAGTAACCTTATAGGGGAGATGGTTGCATAAAAATATTAATAAATAAATATTTATGAGGGCCACACAAATCATTCCAAAGAGATACTTTGGAAAGTATTGGCATTTTATGAGGCCCTTCTTTCTGAATAATTTTGAATACTTCAAATGAAGAGATAAATTATTATTTATAAAAAATAAATAAAGCACTGGATGGTTGCATTCATTTTAACTAAAACCTTTCCCTCTGCGGCCTTTGTAGAAGCACATGAGTTGTTCTGAATAAAAAAAAATATCATCTGTATTGATATTTATTTTATGTAACAAGGTAACTGCTTGCTGTATGTGGAAATCGTTATTATGCAATCAATACTTGAGTTTCAGCTCTTTGGAATGGAGTCCAAATCTAATATAAAATCAAGCATTTTATGTTTGCTTTTCAGCTAAATGGCTTTTCATTTGAGAGCATTGCCTTTCAACATGAATCCTGTGAATTGCTATTTTGCCATCTTTTTTTCCTGATTTCACAACAAGTCTGGCATATTTCTTAAAAACACAGGGCAAGAGACAGGAAAACCACCATGATTTCTTATCTAGCCTTAGGGACAAATCTGACAATCAGCCATTGTCTCTCTGGGGACACAGAGGCTCAGTGGCTAAGATCCTGGGCATGTTGATCAGAAGGTCGGCAGTTTAGCGGTTTGAATCCCTAACACCTCGTAATGGAGTGAGCTCCCATGACTTGTCCCAGCTTCTGCCAACCTAGCAGTTCGAAAGCACGTTAAAAACTGCAAGTACAAAAATGGGGACCACTGTGGTGGGAAATGCCTTCGGCGTTTAGTCATGCCGTCCACATGACCATAGAGATGTCTTCGGACAGTGCTGGCTCTTCAGCTTAGAAACAGAGATGAGCACTGCCGCTAGACCTGGAAATGACTAGCACGCATTTGTGAGGGGAACCTTTACCTTTACCTTACTGTCCCTCTTTCAACTCTAGGGGGGAAAAAATCACTGTAAGCCAGTTTCAAACCTCATTCCAAGAAAACTACAGGAACTTGTCTGGGCAGCCATCAGGAGTCAAGATTGGCTCAAAGACAATATAAATATGTCTTAATTTGAGTATTAACATGAACCACTGAACATGTTATATGTTTTGCACAATTCTCAACTAGAGGTAAAAGGACTCCCCAGAGAACCAGTCTCAGTCCAATGCCTGGCACAGAACTTGCCACCTAAGTCACAAAAACTGTCCAGCCCTAGCAAAGCAAGTTGGCTGCTCCCCAGCCATCTGGATAATAAGGAATTTGCTCCTAGTCTATGCCTGAGACTATTCTGCAAATACTATCACATATTAATTGAATATCTACCATCAAATCAAGGTTGACTCTTAGTGATCACAAATTGAATAATCAGACAGAATCCTGAAATTTAATCGAGCTATATGATTTTTCATGGAAGCCTATTAGAACCCTTCTTCTTCACCCATCCTTACTTTAGGTTATAAATTTAATTTCTGACTGCACTGGCTGGTAAGTGCCCTGATTCAAGGATTAAAAGTCAACACGTTCCTTTGTGCTGTATTGCTTGTAAGCCACATAGAGTTGTTGTGGTCAATGTATATAGGCAGCTGTTCTGTCCCCCCTTCCTCGCTCGTTAACAGATGACAGGCACACAAACGTAAAAGGNATGCCAAATCCGGCAAAACAACTGGCCGCTGTGATACAATTGTGTAATAATAATAATAACAACAACAACAACAACAATTGAACAAGATGGGAAATTTGCAAATAACAACAAAAAAGGAGACAGTTTTCCATAAAGTTAGAAGTACCAGATCAGAGTGGACACCTACATCCCCATTAGGTCAGGCTTCATTTGTTGTACTCAAATGTCTGCATAAGGCTACTAACTCCACTACAATCATACAGTAAATAACATGCGAGTGAAGAATATTCAGATGAATTATTTTCCAATGACTAAGAGCTGAAGGTTTTATAAACCATCAGACTACACATCTTAGAATCATAGACTGCCATGGTTGGAAGGGACCTCAGAGGCCTTCTAGCCCAAATCTCTATTTAAGCTAGGAGACCTTATACTATCCTGGACAAATGGCTATCCAATCTTTTCTTGAAAATCTCAAGCAATGGAGCACCCACAACTCCATTGAATACGGTTATTGTTCTCACTGTCAGGAATTTTTTTCTGGTTTCAGATTGTATCTCTCTTTAATGAGCTTCCACCCATTGCTTCTTGTCCTGCCCTCGAATGCTTTGGAAAATAAAATGACCCAATCTTTTCTTGACAACCCCTCAGGTACTAGAGGACAGTCATGTACCGCACAATCCTTCTCTTTGGTAGGCTTGATATTCCTAGTTACCCAACTGTTCATGATACAATTTAATCTCCAGACATTTTATTGTCTTTGTTTATCTTCTCTGCACACTATTCTATACTTATCCATTTGGTTTTTCATGCCTAAATACAGAAGCTTAATTTTCTTTCCACTGAACTACAACTTGCTAGACAGGGCCCAAAGCTTAGGTCTCTCAAGAGCCTTCTGAATCGGGAATATATCTTCTAAAGTGTTAGCAATCCCTTCTCCCTCCCCAGTTTGCAGTCATCTGAAAATTTGATGAGCTCCCCTTCTATCCCCTCATCTAGATCACTTATGAAGAGCACTAGACCCAAGACAGAACCTTGAGATATCCCACTGCATGTATTTCCATTGAGGACTGCATTAGTGGTGGGATCAATATTTTTTACTACATGGCTTTGTTGCCATGGTGTGGCTTTGTCGGTGTGGCTTTGTGGGCATGGCAGGGAAAAAATACTGTAAAATCTTCATTCCCTCCCCACTCCCGTTGTAAGGTTACTGCAAAATCCCCATTCCCTCCCCACCCCTCTAACCTGCTTTCCAGCTCCATTCTCCTGTCCAGGGCAACAAAATAAGATCAGCTGGCAGGTAGTTTGCCACCTTATTTGCCAGTTTTCCAAACTACTCAAAATTTCCGCTACCAGTTCTCCAGTACCTTTCAGAAATTGCTGAATATCACCTCTGGATGGCATGCTGAGTTTGGTTGGACATCCAACTGTGAATTCATCTGAGGCTGTGGTCTACTGTGTCAAATGCCTTACTGAAATCCAAGTATACTATAGCAACAGCATTTTCTTGATGCACTAATTTAGTCGCTTTATTAAAGAAGGCAAAAAAGTTTGTCTTGCATGATCTGTTTTTAACAAACCCATGCTGGCTTCTAGTAATCATCTTGTTTGTTTATAGGTGCTCACAAATCCACCGCTAGATTATCTTTTTTCCAGGATTTTCCCAGGTATTGATGTCAAGCTGATTGGTTTATAGTTTCTCAGATGAGGTTGAAAAATACTGATCTAGACACTTAAAAAGTGTAAAAAATATATAGTTTGAAAGCCTGCCCAATGTTTTAACATTGCAGTTTTCTGATTCTGCATG